CCCTAGTTCCCCAGCCAACAGTTCATTTCATGACAATTAAAAGACAAAGGCCACTCTTTTGAAGGCAGGGAAGTCCACATTTTGGACAGTCGGCGCCTGCTGGTTTGAAAGAGAGGCCAAAGAGGCCAACCACGTCAAAACTGAACAGCCCTCTCTCAACAGAAGGGAAAGGATATGACATTCTCTATCTCCAGTCTATAATGCAGTCCTTTCATCTGGTTTTTCTTTGAAGACGTTTTGCTTCTCATCCAAGAAGCTTCTTCAGCTCTGACTGGAAGGTGGGCGATGAAAGGATTTATACTCCTTGCAGACAACTGGTCATTTGCATTCTTTTAGAGAGTCGCTGTTATGACCTAGGCTTCTTGAGTCTTTAAAACACACGAGTAGTCCCAAAAACCTCTTTTATTGCAATAGCTGTGAATTACGTTCATTCACAGCTGAGTCCCAATTCTGCAACCATACGGACTGTATCCAAAAGGTGCATTTTTTTCAAGAGGCAACTGGGTTTTCCTTTGAAGACTTTTCGTTTCTCTTTCAAGAAGCTTCTTCAGCTCTGACTGGATGGTGGGGAATGGAAGGATTTATACTCCTTGCAGACAGCTGGTCATTTGCATCCTTTTAGAGAGTCCTTGAGGCCACTTGGAGGTTTATCTGGGTCCTAGGGGGTCACCTGAGTGGTGCAAATGGGTATGGAGCCTTCTTGGAACTGTCCATCTATGTCAAACGAGGCCATCTATGTCAAAATTGAATCGCCCTCTGTCAACAGAGGGGGACGGATACAACACCATCTATCTCCAGTCCTGTTGTGGCCCGTCAGCGGCCTGTGTGAATTGTAGCTGATTCTGACAGTGAGGAGGCTGGTGTGGTGCTGCGCCAGCAGCCTGTGCAGCTGGCACTCGAGTCAGACAATGAGGAGGCTGGAGAAGATGTGGTGCCAGCGGTGGGGATTCAGCCAGGGCCTTCAGAACCTCCAGAAGCTCCTTTAAGTGAAGAGGATGAAGAGGAGGAGCCTCTTCTCAATGCACGGGTGCGCAGAGCTGCCAAAAGGCAGGAGTGGCTCCTCAGGAGGAGGTCTCCTCGAGAGTAAATCTAATTGGCCACTCCATTTAAGGAGGAACGCCGACTGAAGCAATTTGTAGGGAACAACTTTAGTTCACTCTACTTTGCGTCTGGATTCCCTGCAAATTGCTTCTGGGCTTTCTGCCAACGTTAGTAAGATTGTGATTACTTTATCTTTGGTTTCTTGTAGGCTGTTAAGAAAGTTTATTAACAGCCTTTGTTTTGAAAAAGACTTGAGTTATTTTAGTAAATTAAGTTTTGTACAAACTTAGTGTGTGCTGTATTCTTTGGGGTCCGTAGCTGGGGCCGAACAAGTCCTTTCAACTGGCTGTCTGCAAGGAGTGTAAATCCTTCCATTCCCCACCATCCAGTCAGAGCTGAAGAAGCTTCTTGGATGAGAAGGGAAACGTCTTCAAAGAAAAACAAGAAAGTCCAGTTGCCTCTTGAAAAAAAGCCCCATTGGGACAACCATGACCTGGATGACTGAGAACCTCCATAGATATTTCACAACCTTTAAGGCAAGGTTGTACCCACTGTCAGATGTTTCTCCTGGCTCTGGATGGTGCATTTCAATTGATGCCCCTCAAGCCAGAAACTCAGACCGTTGGGATATTTTAGGAGCAGCTGGCTTGCCAACTTTTGCTAAGTCAGCTTGTTGGGAAGCCAAAAAGGGGAAATGCTGTGAGCGTGGATAAGCGGCAACTGTGTTGTGTGTTTGTGCTGCTGGTGGCCGATAAAACAAGCAGTTTTGAGACCGATGTCTCTGTGTAGATTCTTTTTTTTTTATTTATACATTTTTCTTTAACGTACATTGGTGCTTAGTAAACAGTGCATTATCTGGGTCAATTTACTTATACACAGTAGTAGTGCCGATATTTGTTTATACATATTAATAATCTTTCAACTTCTAACTTCTGCTTCTATTATCTAAGTATTGATAGAACAAATCCCTGTTAAGAAATATTCTGTTATCTTCTTTGTCTTTTATCTTTAGTGTTAACCTATCCTAGGGGTCAGCAACCTGCGGCTCTGGAGCCGCATGTGGCTCTTTCACCCCTCTGCTGCGGCTCCCTGTCCCTCAAAATATGCGTCACAACTGCCAATGTGCGACATCCGCCGGCACGCGATTTATTGAGCTTTTCAACCTCTGGTAGGCCAACCATGGATAAGTCCAAGAAAAGAAAAGTTTCAGAAGAAAACAGAACGTTTAATTCAACTACAGATGCTAGTTTTGTGGCCGCTCAAGAAATAGTCAGGCACAGAAAGGGTTTTTGTGATTCCCGGTGGGTTTTTTTCTGTGGGAAACGGGTCCAAATGGCTCTTTGAGTGTTTAAGGTTGCAGACCCCTGACCTATCCATTTCTGCACATTGTAATATTTTTTTAAATTATACACTGCTCAAAAAAATAAAGGGAACACAAGCAGAAGACATCCGAGATCTGAATGAATGAAATAGCCTTATTAAATACTTTGTTCGTTACATACAGTAGTTTTGTGTTCCCTTTAGTTGTTTGAGCAGTGTATAAACTATTGTATGTAAAGAACAAAGTATTTAATAAGGCTATTTCATTCATTCAGATCTCGGATGTCTTCTGCTTGTGTTCCCTTTATTTTTTTGAGCAGTATATTTTCATCTGTAGGGATTTCCTCATTTTTCCAGTGCTGTGCAAATACAATTCTCGCTGCTGTCAAGACATGCAATATTAAATATATATTCCCTTTGTCATATATTTCTGGTAAGAAAAGGTAAAGGTTCCCCTCGCACATATGTGCTAGCCGTTCCCGACTCTAGGGGGCAGTGCTCATCTCCGTTTCAAAGCCAAAGAGCCTGCGCTGTCCGAAGACGTCTCTGTGGTCATGTGGCCGGCATGACTAAACGCCAAATGCGCACAGAACACTGTTACCTTCCCACCAAAGGTGGTCCCTAATTTTCTACTTGCATTTTTTACGTGCTTTCGAACTGCTAGGTTGGCAGAAGCTGGGACAAGTAACTTTTTTTCAAAAAGTTTTTTTTTTTTAAAAAAAAAGTAACTTTTTTAAAAATTAATTTTTCTGGTAGTATACCTAACAAAAATATTTCTGACTTTAAATCTATATGTTGCTTTATCATTTTCTCTAGCCATGTATGCATTTTCGTCCTTTTTTTTTTTTTTTGCCTTTGGACATCTCCACCACATATGATAGTAAGAACCGGGAATCTGGTTACATTTCCAACATTTAAAACAGACATGTTTTTAAACATCTTTGCTAGCCTTGCCGCTGTGTGTTTGTGCTGCTTTTTGAGCAGTTTTGAGACCAGTGTCTCAGTGGAGATTCTCAATCATCCAGGTCCTGGTTGTCCCAAAAATGCTTTTTCAAAAGGCAACTGCAGTCTTCAGTTCTGAAGAAGCTTCTTGGATGAGAAGCGAAATGTCTTCAAGGGGGAAAAAAAGGGAAGACTTATCTTAACGCAAAGGTGCTTTTTTAAAAGGCAACTGGATTTTCTTGGGGGTTTTTTTCCCTTGAAAATATTTTGCTTCTCATCCAAGAAAAAAAAAGAGCCTGATAGTACAGTGGACTAAAGCACTGTTATTAACATCTGCTGCTTGCAATTACTGTAAGTTCGAATCTCACCAGGCTCAAGGTTGACTTAGCCTTCCATCCTTTCAAAGGTAGGTGAAATGAGGACCCAGATTGTGGGGGCAATAAGCTGACTTTGTATAAATATACAAAAGTATGAAGGCTATTGCTTAACGCATTGTAAGGTGCCCTGAGTCTCCGGAGAAGGGCGGCATATAAATTAAAGCAAAAAAAAAAAAAAAGAAGAAGCTTCTTCAGTTCTAACTGACGGGTGGGGAATGGAAGGATTTATATTCCTTGCATTCATCTGGTTGGCTGTCAGCTCTTAGAGCAGGGGTCTCCAACCTTGGCAACTTTAAGCCTGGAGGACTTCAGCTCCCAGAATTCCCCAGCCAGCTTTGGGGAATTAGAGAGTGGTGGAGCTCACTTCAAGGTTTATCCGTACTCTCAGGGTCACCTGAATCAGAGAGCAAATGGGCCTCGAACCTACTTGGGACTGCTGAAAGGACTTTGTTGTAGACGAGTGATCGGTGGTGTCCAGTTTTGGGTTTCAAATTTTTTTACAACCGGTTCTGTGGGCGTGGCTTGGTGGGCGTGGCATGGCTTGGTGGGTGTGGCTTGGTGGGTGTGGCAGGGGGAAGGATACTGTAAAATCTCCATTCCCTCTCCAATCCAGGGGAAGGATACTGCAAAATCCCCATTTCTTCCCGATCAGCTGGGACTCGGGAGGCAGAGAATAGATGGGGGTGGGGCCAGTCAGAATTTTTACTACCGGTTCTCTGAACTACTCAAAATTTCCGCTACTGATTCTCCAGAACTGGTCAGAATCTGCTGAAACCCATCTCTAGTAGTGTATCCCTGCCCGCATGCCATGTTCGCCATCTCAGGTATAGGATTTCCTGCCTGAGCAGGCAGTTGGACTAGAGCTGTGATGGTGAACCTATGGCATGCGTGCCACAGGTGGCACGCGGAGCCATATCAGCGGGCACATGAGTTCAACTCCGGTGCACATGCGCCTGCTGGCCAGCTGATTTTCGGGCCTTCTGGGCCCACTGGAAGTCAGCAAACAGGCCTCTGGGGGGTCGGGGTGGGGAAGGCTGTTTTTGCCCTCCCCAGGCTCCTAGAAAGGCTCTGGAGCCCGAGGAGGGCAAAAAATGGGCCTATCGGGCCCACCGGGTCATCCCGTGCCAAAAGCAGGGGAAGCGGGGGGGGGGGGGGGTCACACACACATGCATGGGGGTGGGGCACATAGAATTATGGGTGGGGGCACATGGGCACGCGACCCCCCCTCCTGTGTTGTGCCCTGCAATTTGTGAAATGGTTGTTTCGGGTTTTTTTATTTTTAGACCGATCCACTAACCAGGCCTTTCTAATCCCCTGCAGAATTGTCATGTCACCTTTCCTGAGGATTGGGCTGTCCAATTTTGACAGCGGCCCCTACCTCCCTTCGCAAGGAGACGTGGTCGATCCGTATTGCGCCGTGATGGTGAAGGAGGCGGTGGAGGCTGGTAAGGAAACAAACACCTCGTTCGGTCGAGACATCATTTGCAGTTGGGTGTGAGCTGAAGGTCTTCTGGGCCCTTGGATTTCAGTGAGAAATTGGAGAGTGTGAGTTTCAATGATAAATTAAGGTATTATTTTCTCTTGGTTTTCGACCTTAACCCCCAAGGGAGGCTCTGAATCTCAATGAGGAAAGAAGAGCCAGAGAAGCGCTATTTAATCTTTTTCACGCCGGTCGCTTTCCAGCTCAAAGTTATCCACTTCTCAAACTGTCTTTTTTTAAAAAAACAAAAACAAAACCCAGATCTCCATTTATCATTAAAGGAGAATATTTGTAGTTCAGGCTGGAAATGAGGATTCTTTGGTGGTTTCTGAGCTTGGGTGTTTTCTTGCAGACGTTTCATGACCCAGCCAGGTAACATCATCAGTGCTAGAATGGGAATTCTATTCTATTCTATTCTATTCTATTCTATTCTATTCTATTCTATTCTATTCTATTCTATTCTATTCTATTCTATTCTATTCTATTCTATTCCTACCCTACCCTACCCTACCCTACCCTACCCTAGCCTACCCTACCCTACCCTATTCTATTCTATTCTATTCTATTCTATTCTATTCTATTCTATTCTATTCTATTCTATCCTATTCCTATCCTATCCTATCCTACCCTACCCTACCCTACCCTACCTTACCCTACCCTACCCTACCCTACCCTACTCTATTTCTATTTCTATTTCTATTTCTTTTCTATTCTATTCCTATCCTACCCTACCCTACCCTACCCTACCCTACCCTACCCTACCCTACCCAGGTAATCTCCGGGTTATGAGCATTGCCTTAGTGAACGCTTAAAGTTACGCAATCAGCGCCCCCTAGTGTTTTCCAACAAGGCCCTAAACTACGAATCTTGCAGCACCACGGCAGTTATTCGCCTTTATGAACGACCCCAGAGGTTCTGCAACATTTGTCCAGCATATTGCTGGCCAAAATAGAGCTTCCGCGAGCTGGATCCGAGCCTCCGAGGCTCCGTTCGGCCCTCTGTGGGCCTCCCCTGATCTGTTACAGGCCGAAATGGAGCTTCCCGGGGCCGGATCTGAGCCTCCAAGGTGCCGTTTGGCCCTCCACCACCTCCCCCGGCCTGTTACAAGTCGAGATGGAGCTTCCAGGGGCCGGATCCAAGCCTCCGAGCCTCCATTCGGCCCTCTGCGGGCCTCTCCCGACCTGTTGCAAGCTGAAATGGAGCTTCCCTGGGCTGGATCTGCCCCCCAGAAGCTCGATTTCATCCTGCCATGGGTTGGGGGAGGCTTTTGGATGCTCGAATGGGGCAATGTGTAAATGTTACAGAGCCTTTGTGGTTGTTCGTAAGCGTGAACAACTGACGTAGTGCTGCAAGATTTGTAGTTTCGGGTCTTCTTTGGAAACATTAGGGGGCGCTGATCTCGTAACTTCGAACATTTGCTAAGGGAACTCTCGTACACTTTTAAGGTTTAAAGTCAGGGGCGTCCACAGCAGTGGTGAAATCCAATTTTTTTTTTACTACCGGTTCTGTGGGCGTAGCTTGGTGGGCATGGCTTGGTGGGCATGGCAGGGGAAGGATACTGCAAAATCTCCATTTCCACCCCACTCTGGGGCCAGCCAGAGGTGATGTTTGTTGGTTCTCTGAACTACTCAAAATTTCAGCTACCAGTTCTCCAAACTGCTCAAAATTTCCACTACCGGTTCTCCAGAACCTGTCAGAACCTGCTGGATTTCACCCTGGTCTTACAGATATGAACAGAAAAGTCAATATGGTGTCTACAATGATGAATTTGAAGCTCCACCCACTTTTTAAATGCTTATTGCATGTAAAACACAGATTTGTTGCGGCCACCAGTTTGGGACTAAACCTGCTGGCATCCATGTTAGAAATGTTCTACAGGGAGTCCTTGACTTACAACTATGATGTCAGCACCTCAAGCTGCATTTACTCTAGTGCTGACATAAGAAGGAGGAGCGGAGGCGTCTGGAAAGGGACGTTTGACTTTTCACCTACTTATTTTCCCTGGAGATAATATCCCCTAGGAGATGGGATGGGAGGGGGAAATTCCTTTGAGCTGGAGCAGTAGATTAGGGGTAGAATGACTTGGAAGATGGCCAATGAGTGCAGGGGAGTGGGGAACGGAAAGGGAGGGTTTTGGGTCTGGAAGTCAGTGTTGGCTTCTATGGAGTCGGATTTAGAATGTCGTGCTTAATAAATAGGAGTTATTCTTCAAAGACTTTGTTTGAAATGCAATTTATTTGAGACGACCTCGAAACCTGACACATCCATTTAGTGACCGTTCAAAGTTACAACGGCACTGAAAAAAGGGACTTCTGACTGTTTTTCACGCTTACGGCCATTTCAGCATGGTCATGTGATCAAAATTCGGACGCTTGGAAACTGGCATGTACTTATGACGGTTGCAGTGTCCTGGGGTCATGTGTGATTCCCATTTGCGACTTTCTGACAAGCAAAATCAAAAGGGGAAGTTAGATTCACTTAACAACCGTGTTTGCTATCTTAACGACGGCATTGATTCACTTAAGCACTGTGGCAAGAAAACCCGTAAAATGGGGCAAAACTCGCTCAACAACCGTCTCGTTTGGTCAGTCGCGGAAATTTTGGCGTCAGTCGCGGCCGTAACTCAAGGACAACCTGTAAATCGGGCCGATAAAGTCACTGCGTTTTGCTGCATTCTGCTGTTAATAAATGCTTTTAATATATGGGCTTGCAAAGCTCAGTCAGTTAAATTGTAATTTAAGAAGGCTGAGAGGCTAAAAATAAACTCTAGTTAATGCAGAAAAACACTTGATCGCACACAGAAAGGTCAGCGGAATTAATGTAATTTGCACACTCGGGTGCACACACACACAAATTCTCCATAACATCCTGCAGCCCAGGAAGGAACGGACAAAGAAAATTTAAAAATCCTGTGGCATTTTATGCTCGGTTGAAATACAAAAGGCGTAACCACAAAGCTAGGCTCAGGTGAATAATTCACTTTTGGTTTCTGTCAGGTTCCTGTTTTTTTGGGTGAATTTGCCAGATTTGAGACGATTTGTGTATTTTGGTGACATTTTTCCCAAAACATAAAGTAAAGTATTTTTGTTGGGCGTGTTTTGGTTCAGAAATGTCTATGAATTTGCATTAAATTACAGGTCGTTCTCAATTTACAACAATTTGCTTTAGGGACTGTTCATTACAATGGCATTGAAAAAGGTAACTTGTAACCAGGGGTGAAATGCTCCCGGTTCGGACCGGATCGTCCGATCCGGTAGTGATAGAGGCGGGTGGTTCGGAGAACCGGTAGCAAAAATCCCTGCCCACCCCCCATGCCCAACCGAGCTGCACAATCATCAGAGGCTTTTTTTTTTACTTTTAAAAGCATTTTTTCTACAACCTCTTTGGCCGAAAAAATGCTTTTAAAAGTAAAAAAAAAAAGCCTCTGATGATCGTGCGGCTCAGCTGGGATCGTCAAAGACTTTTAAAAGAAAAAAAGCCTCTGCCGATCAGGCAACTCAGCTTGGATCGTCAGAGGCATTTAAAAGAAAAAAAAGCCTCTGCCGATCAGGCAACTCAGCTTGGATCGTCAGAGGCATTTAAAAGGAAAAAAGCCTCTGATGATCAGGCAACTCAGCTTGGATCGTCAGAGGCATTTAAAAGAAAAAAAGCCTCTGATGATCAGGCAACTCAGCTTGGATCGTCAGAGGCATTTAAAAGGAAAAAAGCCTCTGATGATCAGGCAACTCAGCTTGGATCGTCAGAGGCATTTAAAAGAAAAAAAAGTCTCTGCCGATCAGGCAACTCAGCTTGGATCGTCAGAGGCATTTAAAAGAAAAAAAAGCCTCTGCGATCAGGCAACTCAGCTTGGATCGTCAGAGGCATTTAAAAGGAAAAAAGCCTCGGCCGATCAGGCAACTCAGCTTGGATCGTCAGAGGCATTTAAAAGGAAAAAAGCCTCGGCCGATCAGGCAACTCAGCTTGGATCGTCAGAGGCATTTAAAAGGAAAAAAGCCTCTGATGATCAGGCAACTCAGCTTGGATCGTCAGAGGCATTTAAAAAGAAAAAAAGCCTGCCCATCAGGCAACTCAGCTTGGATCGTCAGAGGCATTTAAAAGAAAAAAAGTCTCGGCCCATCAGGCAACTCAGCTTGGATCGTCAGAGGCATTTAAAAGGAAAAAAGCCTCTGATGATCAAGCAACTCAGCTTGGATCGTCAGAGGCATTTAAAAGAAAAAATGGTTTTAAAAGTAAAAAAAAAAATTGCCCATGCCCACCCAGTCACATTAACCCCCCCTACCAAGCCACGCCCACAGAACCGGTAGTAACTGCTTGTTTATCATTATTCACACGATGGTTGCAGAATCCCTGTGTCACGTCATCAAAATTCTGACACTTGGTGACTGACTCACATTTATGACGGTTGCAATATCCCGGGGGTGCGTGATCCCCTTTTGCGACCTTCGGACAAGCCAAGCCAATGGGGGAAGCCAGATTCACTTAACAACCGTGGTAATAACTAAACAACTGCAGCGATTCACTTAACAACAGTGACCGGAAAGGTCGTAAAAGGGGGAAGAACTCGCTTAACAACTGTCTTGCTTAGCAGTGGAAGTTTTGGGTTCCATTGTGGTCGTAAGTCGAGGATTCCCTTGTATTGGAAGTTTTCTCCAGTTGATGTGCACCTGAAAAAGTTTGGAAAAACTGAGAAAAATGGAGAGTGGAGAAACTGAGGCAGAGAAGGAGAGAGGGGTGTTAGGCATGTTAAGGCACATTTGTTTGGTCTTTTGCGATGTTCCCTATGTTTTGATGGCATTGTGGGTGTAAAAAAAGGAATTATTGTTGATCCTAGAGAAAGGCCCAGTGTTTGTGCAGAAGAAGCCAACAATGTACCCTCCCTGGAACAGCACTTTCGATGCGCACATCCACCGGGGCCGCGTCATGTACATTGTGGTGAAGGACAAGAGCGCGGAGATGGTCTCAGAGACCACCGTGGAACTCAACCTGGTTGCTGAAAAGTGCAAGAAGAATAATGGGAAAATTGAAATTTGGGTAAGTTTCAACACCTTGGACCAGCGCTAACGTTTAAAATCTTTCGTGAATTGGGCTTCAGTCGTCCTCCCTTCCTCTGCTTGCTTGCTCGCTTCCCTCCTTCCTTCTTTCCCTCCCTCCCTCCCTGTTTGTTTGTTTTTTCTTTCATTTAATTTCTTTCCTTCTATTCCCCCCTCGCTGGTTTTCTTTCTTTCTTTCTTTCTTACTTTCTTTCTTTCTTTCTTTCCTTCTTTCTTCCTTCCTTCTCCTCCTCCTCTTCTTCTTCTTCTTTCATTTGATTTCTTTCCTTCTATTGTCCCTCCCTGGCTCTTTCTTTCTTTCTTTCTTTCTTTCTTTCTTTCTTTCTTTCTTTCTTTCTTTCTTTTCTTGTTCCTTCCTCCTCCTCCTCCTCTTCTTCTTCGTCTTCTTCTTCTTCTTCTTTCATTTAATTTCTTTCCTTCTATCCCCCCCTCGCTAGTTTTCTTTCTTTCTTTCTTTTTTTTTCTTTCTTTCTTTCTTTCTTTCTTTCTTCTTTCTTCCTTCCTTCCTTCCTTCCTTCCTTCCTTCCTTCCTTCCTTCCTCCTCCTCCTTCTCTTCTTCTTCTTCTTTCATTTGATTTCTTTCCTTCTATTGTCCCCCCCCGGCTCTTTCTTTCTTTCTTTCTTGTTCCTTCTCTCCTCCTCCTCCTCCTCCTCCTCTCCTCCTCCTCCTCCTCCTCTTCTTCTTCTTCGTTGTCTTCTTCTTCTTCTTTTTCTTCTTTCATTTAATTTCTTTCCTTCTATTGTCTCGCCCGGCTCTTTCTTTCTTTCTTTTTTCTTTCTTTTTTTTTCTTTTTTTCTTTCTTTCTTTCTTTCTTCTTTCTTTCTTTCTTTCTTTCTTCCTTCCTTCCTTCCTTCCTTCCTTTTTCTTTCTTTCTTTCCTTCCTTCCTCTCTCCTCTCCTCCATCTTTTCCTTACTCCTTCCCTTGCTCTCTCTTCTTTCTCTTTCTTCCTCCTTTCCTCCCTCCCTCCCTCCCTCCACCCCTCCCTCCCTTTCTCCTTTCTTCCCTTCCTCTTTTTTTCTCTCTGTCTTCTTTCCGTTCCTCCCTCCCTTCCTTTGTCCATTTGTAAAACCCCACTTCCATAGCAAGCCTTGACTGGGTGCTTTATTAAAAGGAAATCTCTGATTTTTAAAAAAATATCTGATCGCACTCCCACTTCCTTTCTAAATTCTATTTCATTGTCTTCTTTTTCAGCTGGAACTAAAACCCCAAGGAAGGATGTTAATGAATGCAAGATACTTTTTGGAAAGTACCGGCAAGTATCAATTCTGCTTGTGTTCTTTCCAGAGCTTTTTATCATTTCACCCCATCCCTGCCCAAAAGTTTAATTCTGACCCCAATACTTTGAAATACACAACTTTAAAGCAAGAATATTTTGAATTTTTTTTAAAAAATGACCAGAGCTGCAGAAAAAAAGGACTATGATGGTTTAAAGTGCTCCAAGATATCTTTGCTAGAATTAAGATATGGGCTATTTTCTCTGTTTTTTTCCCATGAAAACTTCTTGTATCCAAAGGGCTGATTCAGAACCATGTGCTTATTTTTCAGCACCCCATTATTCCTACATACAGGTAATCCTCGACTTACAACCACTATGGAACCCAAAATTCCAATTGCTAAGCAAGATCATTGTTCAGTGAGATTTGCCCCATTTACAACTTTCTTGCCACCGTCGTTGGTATTTACCGGTTCTCTGAACTACTCAGAATTTCCACTACCGGTTCTCCAGAACTGGTCAGAACCGGATGAAACCCACCTCTGCTATAGAGTTTAGGATTAAGCACGTTATCTAGAAAACAGCATCTTCCTAGCTCATCATTCTGTGCCAAACACCCTAAACAGAAAGAAACAATCATTTAGTGTTTCCCAAATCTTGTCTGCTTTAAGATGGCGGGACTTCAAATCCCAGAATTCCCCAGCCAAGATTTGGGAAACACTGCCCTAGTTAATAACTCAGTTTGGGGACTGCTGACTTTAGCAATAGAAATAGAATAGAAATAGAATAACAGAGTTGGAAGGGACCTTTGAGGTCTTCTAGTCCAACCCCGTTTAGGCAGGAAACTCTACACCACTTCATAACAAATGGTTACCCAACATCTTCTTAAAAACTTCCAGTGTTGGAGCATTCGCAACTTCTGGAGGCAAGATGTTCCACTGATTCATTGTTCTAACTGTCAGGAAATTTCTCCTTAATTCTAAGTTGCAATGCCCATCAGCCTCAGCAAAATCAATTCGAGATGATGGGAATTGTTATCTGGCTACATCCAGAAGACGGTTGCATTTTTTTTGCTTCATGAAGTCAGCATTTTAGATTGTGGAGATTGTATTTAATGCACCCCACGTGAAAATATTCAGCTCATGAAGCCCCAATCTAAACAAAATCCCTTCTTCTCAACATGCTAGTTTTTTCATAAGCGGGAATATTTTTTTTATCGGGGGTGGGGACCAAGAAAAGTACAATCTCTTCCCCATCAAACACATTTCAGGTGAAGTCCAGAAATAACATAAGTACCGCTAATATTCTTCTGACGGTAACAGGAGCTCTAAAGATTTTAGGAAGTGTGCCTGGTTATTTTTATCAATTGGGGTGTTTCTTCACACTTTTTTGAACTGTTTTAAATATGACTTATTTACATTCATGGCCTGACCACCAGATTTCTTGGTTTTCTGTCTTACTCAGATGATCCAGAGTTTATCGACTGTGAAAAGGAGGGTTTTTTCTCGCTGCATCAACGGAGAGGAGCCATCAAGCAAGCGAAGATTCATAATGTCAAGTGCCACGAGTTTACAGCCACTTTCTTTCCCCAGCCCACTTTCTGTTCTGTTTGCCACGAATTTGTCTGGTATGAGTCCGAGGGGCTCCTTTTGGGGTTGGTCTGTGAAGGATAGGATGCAACTTTCTTTCTTGATGGGAAGATGCTTCCTCTGGAGAGCTGCTATGATCCACTGGTCAACAGAGCTGCTATGATCCATTGGTCCAACAGCTGTTGTGATCCATTGGTTGAAAGAGCTGCTATGATTTATTGATCAAAAGAGCTGTTGTGATCCATTGGTCCAAAGAGATGCTATGATCCAGTGGTGGGTTTCAAATTTTTTTACTACCGTTTCTTGGTGGGCATGACAGGGGAAGGATACTGTAAAATCTCCATTCCGTCCCCAATGCAGGGGAAGGTTACTGCAAAATCCCCATTTCCTCCTGATCAGCTGAGACTTGAGAGGCAGAGAATAGATGGGTCGGGGCCAGTCAAATTTTTTACTACCAGTTCTCTGAACTTCTCAAAATTTCCGCTACCAGTTCTCCAGAACTGGTCAGAACCTGCTGAAACCCACCTCTGCTATGATCCATTGGTCCAAAGAGATGCTATGATCCATTGGTCCAAAGAGATGCTATGATCCATTGGTCCAAAGAGATGCTATGATCCATTGGTCCAAAAAGAAATGCTATGATCATCTCCATTTAATGACCCCATAATCCCTTGTAGGGTGGAGTCTGGGCAACTGAATGGAGCTGAGTATTTACTGGCCGGATGCCCTTCCTGTTGCCAGTCCAGAGTAATATTTAGCAGATATATTCTCATCATGCCCAGAGAGAGAAATATCTGCCTCTACCTAAGATCGAACTCACAGCCTCCTGATTGTGAGGCGAGAGCTCCAACTCTAGGCCACCACACCAAAAGAGCTGTTATGATCCATTGGTCAAAAGAGATGATATGATTCATTGGTCCAAAGAGCTGTTATGATCATTTGGTCAAAAGAGCTGCTTTGATTCATTAACCCTAACCATACATCCATAGATATTTAATCTTATTCGGGTTGAGTTGAAGCATCTTCATCCCCACCCAGACCCAAAGATGAGACCTCAAATCATCCCTTGGTTCACCAGGGGTTGAGATATGCAGTTTCTTTTTCAGAGCTGTTAAAGATCCATTGGTCAAACGTTTCTACTGCTGTAGGAGGAAGAAATAGGAGAAGCAGATGGAGAATCTCCAGCATTGGAAGAACCATGCATCCATAGAGACTTAGTTTTACTTGGGTTGAGTTGAAGCATTGTCATCCCCACCCAAACCCAAAGAGCTTTACATAGATGAGACCTCAATAGCATCACTTTTCAGGGATCAAGGATTGAGTTCTGCAGCTTCCGATTGAGAGCTGTTAACGTTCCAGTGGCCAAGGTTTTGAGTTCAAAAAATCAGATTAATTCCCTTCGACAGTCAAAAACACGTCAGTTGGGAGTCTTTCTTTGTTCCAGATTTGATCCAACCCAGTTTGGGTTCCTAATCTGAACCAATCTGATGGGCCAACTCGATTTACAAAGTTGAACTGCATCATCAAAATCGGGTTTGATTCAGTTTTATTTTTCTGATTGGGATAAATCTGCCTTTTTCAGATGCTGCCTTTGATTCTTTGAATCATATTTATTCTTTTTAATCTGATAAATTAAATTCAATAAGACTGAACAGGAATCGCTGCACATTGATTTTTTTAAAAGTCATTCTTCTCAAATGCAGGCATGATTTCAAATCTGTTTTATATTAATACTGTGTTTTTTTCCATTCTATTCCAGGGGCCTTAACAAGCAAGGTTATCAGTGCAGGCGTAAGATCTTTCAGTATATTATATTTATATGTTGATGGTTGTCATAACTGTGCAATAGTACTTAATACTCTGCTGAAAAGCCTAAGAATGAAAGAGTAATTAAATAATCATAACAATATCTGTATGGAAACAAAACATGCAGTTTTAAAAAAATATTTAAGCGGGGTTTTTAAAAAAGTCTTATAATCCTGCTCATATTTTTACCCTTCTCACAACCCAGTATGTTTCCAAATCATTGTCTATCTCTGAGAAAGAAAACAGACATTTTAGGTTTTCTGTTTTTCTCAGGGTCTTCAGGAAGAAAAATTAGTCTCAAGAGTAAAAAGCCAGAATCAAGGAAGGAAAAAAATTATGATTGAATTGGAACTTCCAGTTTTCCCTGTGGGTCAAAATACAGAGTTATGAGGTGCCATTTTCTGCCCTTAGAAACCTGAACCATCTCAGGGGAAAGAGGAATAGAGAGTAGAGAGATGGAAGAGAAGGGGAGAAGAGAGAGGGATGGAAGAGAAGGGAGGAAGGAAGAGAGGGGAAATCAGAGTAGGAGAGAGGGCTAGACAGAGAGGAAGAAAGGAGGAGAAGGAGAAAGGAAGAGGAAGTAGAGAGGAGCAGGAGAGGAGAGAAAAAGAAAGTAAGAAGGAAAGAAGAGAGGGAGGTGGCAGGATTGAGAAGAAAGATTGCTGTACAACAAAAAAGATGAAATGGAAGAAGGGCAACCCCGAACATATATAAATATACTAAGATAAAGAATGAATGGTTAAAAAAATAAAAGAGAATAAATATGAATAAGCAGGAAAATTAGAATTTGAGGGCGAATGAAGATGTTGTTTATATAAGTAAGCAAAGAAATATTGAAATATGATTAAAAAAAGGGAAAAAAGAAAATTGTGGCAAAATTTGTAATAGAATAAAATGTATTTGAATTTGATAAATTGTATAAGATAAGTTATCTGTTCAAAAAATATGTGGGTGAATGTGGGGGGGGGGGAAACCCAATAAAACTTGATTAAAAGAAAGAAAAGAAACCTGAACCATCTCAAAGTTTAGAATAACTCAACCTTTTTTTGCAGATTGACAATCATTATTTGAGTACATGCTGGGATTCCCAAAAAGAATGAAAATAAAATTAGATTTAACCGACACTATTAATTAATTCAATATCAGGATTACCTTTAGCTGTAAAGATGGAATCGTGTAATCCTTCCATCATATCAAAATGAAAATTGTGGGTGGAATTTAAGGAGCCTGGATAGCTCTGCAGACAAGGCACTGTAATTTAACACCAGCTGTCTGCAATTAAAGTAAGTTCAATTCTCACCAGGCTCAAGGTTGACCCAGCCTTCCATCCTTTCTAAGGTAGGTAAATTGAGGACCCGGATTGTGGGGGGCAATAAGCTGACTTTGTATAAATATACAAAAGGATGAAGGCTATTGCTTAACGCATTGTAAGCCGCCCTGAGTCTCCGGAGAAGGGCGGCATATAAATCAAATTAAAAAAAAAACCAAAAAAAACCCAGAGCCTCAGTGGTTGCTCCTAAGACTGGAGAGGCTGGGAATCTTACACATACACAACACACATAAACAAACACACAATGAAACAAACACACAAACACCAAATCCCCACCAAATTTTTACCTACCCACGTCTGGTATCTGAATTTCAGAATTTCTAGAGGCAAATTTTTATGCAAGGCCGAACTTGTGGGGGGAAAAAAACCACAGAATAACACAAAGATTGATGGGACCTTGGAGGTCTTCTAGTCCAACCCTCTACTCAAGCAGGAAACCCTCTGCTATTTCCGACAAACGGTTCTCAAGGAGGATTTGAATGAATATCTCAGAGAAGAAGGGGGAAAGAAACTGTTTTGATGGTTCCTCCTCTCGAGTGTAAGGGATTCTGCTGGGTATGATCAGAAAAGTCAAGATAGAGATCAGGATGGCACTATCAAGAGCTCTGCCTGATTTTTAGATCAGGGGTCTCCCACCTTGGCAACTTTAAGACTTGTGGACTTCAACTCCCAGAGTTCCTCAGCCATCTTTGCTGGCTGAGGAACTCTGGGAGTTGAAGTCTTCAAGTCTTAAAGTTGCCAAGGTTGGAGACCCCTGTTTTAGATGGCATCTCAGTGGTGAAATCCAATTTTTTTTTTACTACCGGTTCTGTGAGCGTAGCTTGGTGGGCGTGGCAGGAGAAGGATATTGCAAAATCTCCATTCCCACCCCACTCCAGGGGAAGGATACTGCAAAATACCCATTCCCTCCTCACTCTGGGGCCAGCCAGAGGTGGCATTTGCTAGTTCTCCGAACTGCTCAAAATTTCCGCTACCGGTTCTTCAGAACCTGTCAGAACCTGGTGGATTTCACTCCTCTGGCATCTTGGCTTTTGTTGTCCAAAACCAGTTGTCCACTCCTGATTGGGACCAAAACTGAATTCTTTCCTTTGCCCCATCGTGTTGTATTTCTGTCCAATCGTGTGTAAGAGTATAATTTGTGTTGTGGTCTTTTTGTGTCCCCTGTAAAACTTTATTTTAGTGAAAACGATCTCTTTTTTTTTTCCCCCCAGAATGCAATGCTGCGATTCACAAGAAGTGTATTGACAAAGTCATCGCAAAGTGTACCGGATCAGCTATTAACAGTAGAGAAACTATGGTAGGTTTGGGGTTGTGTTACTTTTGTGACTTGGTCGCTAGAGTCCAAGGGATGCGGTGGCTCAGTGGCTAAGACGCTGAGCTTGTCAATCAAAAGGTCGGCAGTTCAGCGGTTCGAAACCCTAGTGCCGCGTAACAGGGTGAGCTCCCGTTACTTGTCCCAGCTTCTGCCAACCTAGCAGTTCGAAAGCGCGTAAAAAATGCAAGTAGAAAAATAGGGACCACCTTTGGTGGGAAGGGAACAGCATTCCGTGCGCCTTTGGTGTTGAGTCATGCCGGCCACATGACCACGGAGACGTCTTTGGACAGTGCTGGCTCTTCGGCTTTGAAACGGAGGTGAGCACCGCCCCCTAGAGTTGGGAACGACGACCACATATGTGCAAGGAGAACTTTTACCTTTAGCTTGAGTTACCCAACACAGAGGCACTAAACTTGGCTATGATATCCTTGATTTGATTTTGTCTGTCTTGGCAGACAAAATATATATAATAATAATAATAATAATAATAATAATAATAATAATAATAATAATAATAATAATAATAATAATAAAAATAAAAATAATAAAAAATAATAATAATATAATAAAAATAATAATTTAATCAAGAATGTAATGCAATAACTTTTATGAAGGATTTGCTATTTCAATAGCAGTTACAGTAAAAGAAAAGCGAAACACGTAGAAAAAAATGAGAAATGCAGAAATTATCACCATAGAAAAAATGAGATATTCAAAAGTGATCACCATGTCAGTTAATACTTAGTTAGGTAATCTTTAGCATGAATTACGGCCTTACAAGGTCTTCCCATGGAGTGAACCAAGTCTTTTAATTCTGCAGCTGTTCTAATGTGAAACCAAGATTGATTGAATGGTGGCTTCTATTAACTGGGTTTTATTGCTGGGTCGCTTCTGACTAACCAGTTTCTTTAGTCGGCTCCATAGATTTTCAATTGGGTTAAGGTGTGGGCTATTCCCAGGCCATTCCAGCAGTGGAATCGGACTATCTTGAAACTCCCTCAAAAAAGTGGTGTTATTAGCCATCCAACCTCAAAAATACACTTTTCCCAAAAGGTTTCCACAATTTTGGCCACGACTGTTATACAACAATGTGAAATCACACAGCTACCAGTTCAAAGCTATGGGGACGTGTTAACCTTCATTTCCCCTTCTTTTTCTTCCAGATCCACAAAGAAAGATTTAAGATCGACATGCCCCATCGCTTCAAGGTATACAATTATAAAAGCCCCACCTTCTGTGACCATTGTGGAACACTGCTCTGGGGCCTCGCACGGCAGGGCTTAAAATGCGACGGTGAGTTGGGATCGCTTTGGAGATAAGCAGGGGATCTGCAGCATGACATTGGAGCCAGACTGCAGACAGAACACAAATTTCTACAACATAAATTTTGGAAATTGTGGTTGTAAGTCGAAGACAGACAGTCCTCGACTTAGGACCACCATTTCCAAAATTTCTATTGCTGAGTGAGAGGTCGGTTAAGTCAGTTTCACCCCCATTTTACGACCTTTCTTCAATGGTAGGCTGTTCCTGGTTCGCACCGGTTCATAAGAACCGGTAGTAAAAATTTGTAGTAGTTTGGAGAACCAGTAATAACATTATCTGGCCACGCCCCCGAACCGGTTCCCGGCCCGGTCGCCGCTCACTTACCCCACCGACCTCATTAGAGGCTTTTTTTTTTTTTTTTACTTTTAAAAGTATTTTTTTCTGCAACCTCTTCAGCCGAAGAGTTTTTAGGGGAAAAAAATGCCTTTAAAAGCCTCTGGCGATCCCAGCTGAGTTGCCTGATCATCAGAGGCTTTTCAAAGCATTTTTTTCTGCAACCTCTTAAGGTTGTAGAAAAAATGCTTTCAAAAGTAAAAAAAAAAAAAAGTTAGCCACACCCACCCAGTCACATTACCCCCCCACCAAGCCACGCCCACAAAATAAGCCACGCCCACAGAACCGGTAGTAAAAAAATTTAGAACCCACCCCTGCCTTTCTTGCCACAGTTAAAATTAAAATTACTTTTAAATCTGGCTTCCCCATCGATTTTGCAGGTTAGAAGGTCACCAAAGGGGGATCACATGACCCCCTGGGGAAACTGCAACCGTCATAAGTGCATGCCAGTGGCCAAGCGTCCGAATTTTGAACCCGTGACCAGGGATGCTGCAACGGTTGTTAAGTGTGAAAAATGCTCTTAAGACCCTTTTTTCAGTGTCGTCGTAACTTTGGTCACTAAACAAACTGTTGTAAGTTGAGGGCTGACTGTAGGAGCCCCTTTCCCTCCCCATGTCCTTTCCCCCTCCCCATCTCTCTGGTGGGTTTCAAAATTTTTTACTACCAGTTCTGTGGGCGTGGCTTGGTGGGCGTGGCAGGGGAAGGATACTGTAAAATCTTCATTCCCACCCCTCTTCAAGGGATAGGTTACTGAAAAATCCCCATTTCCTCCCGATCAGCTGGGACTTGGGAGGCAGAAAATAGGTGCGGGTGGAGCCAGTCGGAATTTTTACTACCGGTTCTCCAAACTATTCAAAATTTCCGCTACCGGTTCTCCAGAACTGGTCAGAACTTGCTGAAACCCACCTCTGCTCTCAATCCAATGTTTGCCGTTTATGTCCTATCAAGGCGGTGAACGATTTAGCAATAAAATGTTAGAAAAATTTAAAGCAATAATTTCAGTTTGGGGCAAAAGAACACCACACACGTCTCACAAGCAGTTTCGAAGCTGCTGGAGCAGGGGTGAAATCCAGCAGGTTCTGACGGGTTCTGGAGAACCGGTAGCGGAAATTTTGAGCAGTTCAGAGAACCGGCAAATACCACCTCTGGCTGGCCCCAAAGTGGGGTGGGAATGGGGATTTTGCAATATCCTTCCCCTAGAGTGAGGTGGGAATGGAGATTTTGCAGTATCCTTCCCCTGCCATGCCACGCCCACCAAGCCACGCCCACAGAAACGGTAGTTTAAAAAAAATTGGATTTCACCACTGTGCTGGAGGTCTGACCGGTGACTTGGTCTCTGCCTTGCAGCCTGCACGATGAACGTCCATCACAAGTGCCAGACCAAAGTGGCGAATCTTTGCGGCGTGAACCAGAAACTCATGGCGGAAGCCTTGGCGCTGATCGAGAGCAGGCAACAAGTGAGTAAGGGGAACGTCCTTAGGGTCGTTTTTGTAAAGAAAGATGGACGGGAGGGAAACGAATGGAGAATATATCTATGTTTACGGTCGCTGTGAGTTCTCCGTGGTTGAACCTGGTCCTGCCTACAACAGATTCCCCTAGCAGAGCCCCCCTCCCAAAAGCATTTGGCTAGGGAATTCTGGGAGTTGAAGTCCAATAGCAATAGCTGTAGCACTTAGACTTATATACCGCTTCATTCTGCTTTACAGCCCTCTCTAAGCGGTTTACAGAGTCAGCCTATCACCGCTCACAATCTGGGTTTTCTTTTTACCGACCTTGGAAAGGCTGAGTCAACCTTGAGGCTGTCAGGATCAAACTGGCAGTGGGCAGAGTTTGCCTGCAATACTGCATTCTAACTACGATGCCGCCAGGGCCCTTCCTTCCTTCCTTCCTTCCCTCCCCTTCCATCCTTCCCTCCCTTTTCCTCTCCTTCCTTCCTCCCCTTCCTTCCTCCCCTTCCTTCCTGCTCCTCTCCTTCCTTCCCTCCCCTTTCCTCTCCTTCCTTCCTTCTCATCTTCCTTCTTTCCCTCCCTCCCTCCCACTATTTCTCTTCTTCCGTCCCTCTCATTTCCTTCCTTCCCTCCCTTTTCCTCTCCTTCCTTCCTTCCCTCCCTTTTCCTCTCCTTCCTTCCCTTTTCCTCTCCTTCCTTCCCTTCCTTCCTGCTCCTCCCCTTCCTTCCTTCCTTCCTTCCCTCCTTCCCTCCCCTTTCCTCTCCTTCCTTTCCTCCTTCCCTCCTTCCTTCCTTCTCACCTTCCTTCCTTCCCTCCCACTATTTCTCTTCTTCCATCCCTTTCATTTCCCTCCCTCCTTCCTTCCTTCCCTTCCTTCCCTTCCTTCCTTCCCTTCCTTCCCTTCCTTCCTCTTTCCCCTTCCTTTCTTAGCACTTAGCAATAGCACTTAAACTTATATACCACTTCACAGTGCTTTACAGCCCTCTATAAATGGTTTACACAGCCTATTGCCCCCAACAATCTGGGTCCTCATTTTATTGACCTCAGAAAGATGGAAGGCTGAGTCAACCTTGATCCGGTGAGACTCACCGAATCATCGAACTGCTGGCAGTCGGCAGAATTAGCCGGCAATACTGCATTCTCACCACTGCGCCGCCAAAGAAATTTCCCTTTTTTTTTCATCTAACGGCACTATCATAGCTACCTCCCGTAACTCCAGCGATAGGAAATGGATGGTCCTATACACAAATGGTGTAGTGAGGAACAACTGGAACAGTCAATCCTTGAGCCCAAAATTTCTGTCGTTATGTGAAACAGTTAAATTGAGTTTGGCCCCTTTCTTGCCACAGCTGTTAAGTGAATCACTGCAGTTGTTAAAGTTAGCAACACGGTTGTTAAGTGAATCCGGCTTCCCTCTTGGCTTTGTTTCTCAGAAGGTCGCAAAAGGGGGTCACATGACATTGTCATAAATACGAGCCTGTGGCCAAGCATCTGAATTTTGATCACGCGGCGGTGGGAATGGTGCCACAACGGTCATAAATGTGCAAAATAAGTCACTTTTTTCCCCAGTGCCTTTGTAACTTCAAACGGTCACTAAACAAACGGTTGCAATTCAAGGACTGCCTGTAACCAAAAATCTTGGGGAATGTTCCACTCCAGGGCAGTGGCAAATCTGTGCAATTCCTTTTGCAAAACCCAAGCTTCTCCTTCCATTGCCCTCCTTTGGGGGGCACGGGTTCAAGAATAGAATAGAAGAGAAGAGAATAGAAGAGAAGAGAAGAGAAGAGAAGAGAAGAGAAGAGAAGAGAAGAGAAATAGAATAAGAATAAGAATAAGAATAGAATAGAATAGAATAGAATAGAATAGAATAGAATAGAATAGAAATAGAATAGAATAAGAATAAGAATAGAATAGAATAGAATAAGAATAAGAATAGAATAGGAATAGAATAGAATAGAATAGAATAGAATAAGAATAAGAATAAGAATAGAATAGAATAGAATAGAATAGAATTAGAAATAGAAATAATAGAAATAGAAATAATAGAATAGAATAGAATAGAATAGAATAGAATAAATAGAATAGAATAGAATAGAATAAGAATAGAATAGTATAGAAATAGAATAGAATAGAAATAGAAATAGAATAGAATAAGAATAGAATAGAAATAGGAATAGGAATAGAAATAGAATAGAAATAGAAGAGAAGAGAAGAGAATAGAAATAGAATAGAATAGAATAGAATAGAATAGAATAGAATAGAATAGAATAGAATAGAATAGAATAGAATAACACATCTTTTTTTATATCGAGTTGCATGAAAAGAGTTGCATGAAAAGGTAGAAATGTTCTCTCTTATCCTTTGCTTGCTGATTGGTAGGTTCTTCAGATCCGTTCCTGCCCTGTCTCTGTGTGAGGTCACCCAACATGTTGCATGGATGTGTTCTTTTTTTGTTTTGTTTTGTTTTGTGTCGATTCAGGCCCGAAGTCTGCGTGATTCAGAGCGGATTTTACGAGAAGGACCGGTTGAAATCTCCTGTATGAAAGAGGAGCCGCTTAGCCCTTCTGTGCCCCCAACAGGCAGAAAAGGTATTTCATGTTATTAATACGTTTTCCTAGTTCAGGGGTCAGCAACCTGCGGCTCTGGAGCCACATGTGGCTCTTTCATCCCTCTGCTGCATCTCCCTGTTGCTGGTCGGCACCACAATTTTGAGAGGAGCTTCCGGTTAGGACCTTGGTGGCTCGTTGAGGGTTTAAGGTTGCCGACCCCCGTCCTAGTTAATAGAATTTTTCCTTACCACTGGGCTATACCTGTAGTCCTCAACTTACGACCACAATTGAGCCAAATGTTTCTGTTGCTAAGTGAGAAATGTGCTCCGTTAGGTTTGCCCCATTTTACGACCTTTTTTTTAAAAAATTTGATTTATATGCCGCCCTTCTCCGGAGACTCAGGGCGGCTAAGCAATAGCCTTCATCCTTTTGTATATTTATACAAAGTCAGCTTATTGCCCCCACAATCCGGGTCCTCAATTTACCTACCTTAGAAAGGATGGAAGGCTGAGTCAACCTTGAGCCTGGCGAGATTCGAACCTGCAGTAATTGCAGGCAGCTGGTCTTAATAACAGGGTACTACCAAGGCTCTTTGTTAAGCGGATCACTGCCATTCCTAAATTAGTACGGTAACACAGTTGTTAAGTGAATCTGGCTTCCCCATTGACTCTGCTTGTCGGAAGGGGATCACATGAGTCACCCTGGGACACTGTGACCGTCATAAATAGGAGTCTGTTGCCAAGCATCTGAAGTTTGATCGCATGGCTACGGGGATGCTGCAACGGTCGTAAGTGTGAAAAACTGGTCATAAGTCACTTTTTTCAGTTTTGTAACTTCGAATGGCCACTAAATGAACTGTTGTAAGTCGAGGACTACCTGTATGTTGACTTTAATTAAATCACAGACACACACACACATGCCCAGAAACCAGCATGACAGACATGGAGTTTGTCAGAGTATATTCATGAACTGGAATAGGGCATAGCAACAGGTCAGCCAATGAGGGCTGTTTGGTAACTGAAACATAGTATTTGTTGTATAGGGCATAAGAGACATTTTGGAGCCTGGGCATGGCTTAATTGTTCTGTATATAAGCTTGAGGGCACTAGCTTCTCCATTTTGCCTCCTCCATTTTGTGCTGTGTTTATCCCAGAGATGGGTTTCAGCAGGTTCTGACCAGTTCTGGAGAACGGGTAGCGGAAATTTTGAGTAGTTCGGAGAACCGTTAGTAAATATTCTAACTGGCCCCGCCCCCATCTATTCTCTGTCTCCCAAGTCCCAGCTGATCAGGAAGAAATGGGGATTTTGCAGTACCCTTCCCCTGGATTGGGGGCGGAATGGAGATTTTACAGTATCCTTCCCCTGCCACGCCTACCAAGCCACACCCACAGAACCGGTAGTAAAAAAATTTGAAATCTACCACTGGTTTGTACTTGCTATTTCTCTTCTCTACAACGTGAAGAAACCTACAATGGTATTGTATATAAAGACATTTTCTTATGTAGTTGAATCCTGCAGAATTATTTAATTGTGTCTGATTGCGTGTGCTGCAACAAACTCTGACAGAGTTGACGTCCACCACAACTCTTAAAGTCTGGAGACTCCTTGTGTAGTGTCATGTTGTATGATTCTGCCTTAAAGGATGGAATGAATTTTTTTTTTTAATGAATATATTTCAACACGAATCCCCTGGAATTTTTTATAGAACCACAAGGAATTTCTTGGGAATCCCCAGCAGATGACATCCCAGTTTCTGATTCTCCGGTGGAACTGGAACTGAGGAAAGACATTCAAGTAGAATTGCCAAAATTAACCATCGATGATTTTTACTTGCACAGAATACTGGGGAAAGGAAGTTTTGGCAAGGTAAGGTGATGGCGAGGAGAAAAAAAACCTTGATTTTTAAATTACGCAGCAGGAAGTGTGTAGTCATTTTCATAGTTCTGTCCTTTCCACTCCAAAATCCTCATTTCCTTCACTCTTGCTACTAGTATGAAGGGGTAGCTGCAGAGCTGCTAAGCCACCATTCCTCTGTTATATTGAAAAGACCCTCTGAAACAAGAGCCAGGAAGAAAGGCGAAGCCAAATTTCCTGCCAATGGGAAGCCAGCTCCCTCATAAGCTCAGAGTTGAGGTGAAGTATACAAAAAGTCCACTTTTGCCATGATTTCAAAGCATTCCTGGCCCAGAAATAATTTGACTCTGCTGCTAAATATAGATAGTCCTCGACTTACAAACACAATGGAGCCCAACATTTCTATTGAGAGAGTTATTAACTGAGTTTTGCCCCATTTTACGACTTTTCTGGCCACAGTTATTAAGTGAATCACTGCTGTTCGTAAGATAGTGTGATGGTTAAAAGTCTGAAGAGATTCTCAGTCATCATCCAGGTCATGGTTGTCCCAAAGGTGCTTTTTCAGGCGGCAACTGGACTTTCCTGTTTTTTCTTTGAAGATGTTTCGCTTCTCATCCAAGAAGCTTCTTCAGCTCTGACTGGATGGTGGGGAACGGAAGGATTGATGCTCCTTGCAGACAGCTGGTCATTTGCATCCTTTTATAGAGACATTGAGACCACTTGGAGGTTTATCTGTGTCCTCAGGGACACGACCATCATAGTGTGATGGTTGTTAAGCGAATCTGGCTTCCCCGTTGACTTTGCTTGACAGAAAGTCGCAAAAGGGGACACTGCAACCGTCATAAATATGAGTCTGTTGTCAGTTGCATCGTAATTTTAATCACGTGACCACGGGGGAACGCTGCAACGGTTACGTGAAAAATGTTCATAAGTCACTTTTTCCCAGTGCCGTTATAATTTCCAACGGTCACTAAAATGAATGGTTGTAAGTCGAGGACTACCTGTAGACCTAACCTGAGGGCCCGTTCAGATCCACAACGGATTGCAAACTGATATACAAAGCCCTGCGTGAATGATCTTCCTACGTTTGTGACTTTGCCCGTCTAAGCGGCTCCTTGGTGATTATCTTTTTTTCGCTCCAGGTTTTCCTTGTCGAACTCAAAACCACGAACCAGTTTTTCGCCATGAAAGCCCTGAAGAAGGAGGTGGTTCTGATGGACGACGACGTGGAATGCACCATGGTGGAGAAGCGTGTCCTCTCGCTGGCTTGGGAGCACCCATTTCTCACCCACGTCTTCTGTACTTTCCAAACTAAGGTTAAAAAGAGACATTAATCAATCAACCACTTTGTCCAAATCACGCAGTTACCACCACTAAAGCAGGGGTCACCAACCTTTCCGACCTCAGGGAGCACTAAATTCATAATTTTAAATCCTGTGGGCCGCTAATATGATCTGCCTAATGATCGGCTGGGTGGGCGTGGCTAGGTGGTCATGTGACTGGGTAGGTGTGGCCAACTCGATGTCACTCACATTCACACGTCTATTCGCCCCTCCCCTCTCAGCAACTCCTCGCCTCCCCGCCCGGGCTCCTTAGCGCCCCAACAGGAAGCAGTTGTTAGAGCTAAGCAGCCACCACGAGAAAGAGTTGACAAAACAGCTCAGTTCAAATTGGATCTGACCGAGAAGGAGGCTCAGTAGAAGCACCTCACTGAGGACTAGGAGCATAGGCTTTCCAAGCAGAGGGAAGACCTGCAGGGGTGCAAGGCCAGGTACTGGTGCCTGGAGGCTCAGCGGGCTGAGATTGTCAGCCAGTTCCAGGCCATGATGCAGTCCCACTGGAACAAGGCCCTCCGGCTCTTCGCCATCAGAGGCATGTTCTGTCCCCGTCTCACACACGCACCCCCACAGACAGTCAATAGTGAAATAAACCAGCCGACAAAGGTTTCTCTAAGAGCAGAATTGGCAGCAACCCAGTGGCTGGCTGCCAAGAGTCTTTTACTTACGAAGGGAGTGTTTTTCAAAGCCAACACACAAGAGATAAGAGAATATTCAAAAAGTCCAGCAATGCAGAGAGGTTTGTTCAATATCAGTTTTTGCTCGTCACAGCCACCACACCCCCTTTTATACCTTGTGTTGTGTGGCCAGTGACTCAGCTTAATCCCTGGCACGCCTCTTCCTCTGCTGTGCGCGCTTATCTCTGTGACGCTGTCGAGGGTCCAGCCAAGACTCATCATCATCATCATTACTGTCCACCTGCGGCTGCGTGGAAGTGCTTGGCCCCGGGCCTATCTCTTGGCCTTCGGAGGACACCGGAGGCATTGCCAGAGAGGAGGGTCCTGGAGAGGGAGGCCTTGCCAACTCCTCTCCTCCACTCTTGGAGTCCTCTCCTGCTGATAACACAGGCTCGGTGATCGGAGCCACAACAAGGCACTTCCCTCCAGCCTTTGCCCAAAACCCCACACCAGGAGGCCGAAGCAGACCCCAAGTTGGAATTTCTGCCCCCCTCCGACCCACACAAAAAGACCCCGAAGGGAGAGACTCTCTGCAGCAACACAAATGTTTATTGCACGTATCTGTCCCAGGGGCCGTAGTTTGAGGACCCCTGATTTCGTGGAATATAAAAAATGCAAATAATTTTTCTGCGGACCACCAAAATTTTCTCGCGGACCACCAGTGGTCCACAGACCACCAGTTGGTGACCACTGCACTAGAGGTTTTGCCCAAATACTAAAGGTCATTTTTTTGTCCCTTGCTAGGAGAACCTGTTCTTTGTAATGGAGTACCTCAACGGAGGAGACCTCATGTTCCATATTCAGAACTGCCACAAATTTGAAATGGAACGAGCAAGGTGAGGTGGGCCTGGCTTGACTTGATGGAACAGAAGCAATCAACCAGCATAAATTTATTTACACAATAAATTCTGAATAGACTGACAGCACACTAAGCTGTGTGCCTGTAACTATAACCTCCTGTTCTGACCTAGGCTTCCTGAGACAGTAAAAAGCACACAATTAGTCCCAAAAACCCTCTTTTTATTTCAACGGCTGTGAATTCTGTTCATTCCCAGCCCGTGATGAGTTACAAATAGTTTGTAAAGAGTCTGACAGGCGTCTGCCACAGTCCTTTGGGATAAGGCTGATAAGCACCCACCTTTATCTCCCTTGACACGCTGCCAAAGATCTAATTGCCAGTTAGCTTTGCGAGGTCCACATGGAGCACAGAGTCAAAACGGAGCTTCGGAATTTAAACCGACTAGAACGAACAAGGTTGCTTCCTGCAAAGGCTCACGTGCCTTTGCTCCTCCTTTATGTCTTATGGGAGGGCAATCATCTCCAAGCCTTACTCCTGAGTTGTCCCTTTTGTCTTAACTGTTCTTGCCTTCTGGCAGCTCTGCGCATGCGCGCACTGGGAACAGGCTCCCCCTGTTCCTCTGCCTCGCTGACGTCACACTCTGGAGGCTCAGGAATCAGCACATAACTCCCAGGTGGCCCTGTCCCTGTCTCTGCCTCTGACGCAGAGCCCTCGTCCGAGCCTTTCCCAGACTCCAGGACTGGCCCATGTTCCTCCTCAGCCTCCTCACCGTCCGACTCTGCTGCCAGCTCCGCAGGCTGCCGCTGGACCACAACATCTCCATCTTGACCTTTTGATGTACCTATTTCTATTCTGTGCTTTCATTATTCGATTGAGTAGACAAATAGAAACGACAACAAACCTTATTATGAATAATTATAATGAAATATCATTGTTTGTCTCACCTGAGCCAGCCAGAAAGATTCTTCTTTGGTTCTTGTTGTGATAAAAGGAATGTTTCCACGTTTTGTAGGTTCTATGCTGCTGAAATTATTTGTGGGCTGCAGTTCCTCCATTCCAAAGGCATCATATACAGGTAGGGATTATTATTATTTTCTTTAAATCCTGAAATTTTGCCAGTTCCAAATAAAAGATCAGCGTACAGAGAACTTTGAGGGTTCTGTGCCAGTTCTCCTCATTGTTGCCCAAATTTGGATCACGTGACCATGGAGGGGGGATGCTACAGCAGTCGTAAGTGTGAAAAACAGCCATAAGTCACTTTTTTCAGTGGACGTTGCAACTTTGGTCATTAAATGAATAGTTTTAAGTTAAGGGTTACCTGTATTCTGTATGTTCTCCGCCTTGAGTTACAGTGATACTTTGGTACTTAACTGCTTTGAAGTCATCAAATTTGGTACCCAATGAATTTTGATGCAAAAATTTTGTCCAGGTACTCATTGTTTGATTCGTACTCAACGCACAAGCTACATGTCAGGGTTCCGTTGGATGCCCTAATTAAATCATGAGCCTCGAGCCAAGCTTCAAAAGAAATCCAGTTATTTATTAGGAGCTTCACGTCAGCACATTCCAAGTGAAGCCAACTCTGGCCCCGAGTAACTTACGACCCAGGCATGACCCTGGTTCCCCCCTCCACCCATGATGTGTCATCAGTCACCTTCACCAAAGAAGCAATTTCTCAGGTTGTAGAGATTACTCCCCTCCAGCTACTGTGGGTAACCCTTGGAGACAGCCTTGGGAAAGATATGTCTGGAATGTGCTTTTGTTTTTTGGCTGCCGTGCTGCTTCACCGTTTCCCATCCCCCTTGCCTATGGCAACTCGAGAGCAGGCCAGGGATGCTTTGTGAGTTGACATTACAACTTGTTGGTGTTGGCTGCCTTGTGACTCACTACATTATTCCTTATGGGAATAATTTGTTTGGTATACATCGTTTTTGATGCCTCCTGGAAGCATTAACAATGAGTACCGAGATATCGCTCTATTTGCAAAAAAACAAATAAAGGTAGGATATAAATTAAATAAATAAAGGAGCAGGGAATGGCAGCCACAATGGATTGGGGGGTTGGAGAAGACTAAAAAAGGGACTTTTGAAGGAACAGAGCTAACCTTTCATCCTCTTTCAGAGACCTCAAGCTGGATAATGTTCTCCTTGACAAAGAAGGCCACATCAAGATTGCTGACTTTGGCATGTGCAAAGAGAACATGTTAGGCAACGCTAAAACGAGCACCTTCTGTGGGACGCCGGATTATATTGCCCCTGAGGTAGGTGGGCGTGGACCTTTGTTTCTCCAAAATAAAAGAACATACAGTATAAAGAATGGTTGCTGGAATTGGGCACGTCTAGTCTAGTGAACAGAAGGACCAGCGGTGACATCAGTGGTGGGATCCTGCCGGTTCGGTGATCGCATGCGCAGTTTTAACAAAACTAACCTTCCACGTTACTTCTGGGGAGTAGCATAGCTGAGGCGCGGCAATCCATTCTGCCGCGCGAATCAGCTGAGAGGGTAAAGGTAAGTAAAGAGCAGAGGTGGGCGGGTACACCCACCTGATCGTCGGAGCTACCGGTTCACCTGAACCAGTCCGAACCGGCTGAATCCCACTCCCGGGTGACATGATAGCAGAGTTCCAGTATTTGAGGGGCTGCCACAAAGAAGAGGGAGCCAAGCTATTCTCCAAAGCACCAGAAGGCAGGACAAGAATCAATGGATGGAGACTAATCAAGGAGAGAAGCAACCTAGAACTAAGGAGAAATTTCCTACACAGTTAGAATCGGTGGAACCACTTGCCTCCAGAAGTTATAAATGCTCCAACATTGGAGGTTTTTAAGAGGAGATTGGACAACAATTTGTGTAGAATGGAATAGGGCCAGTGGTAAAATGTAAAATTTGTTACTACCGGTTCTGTGGGTGTGGCTTGGGGAGGGGTAAGATGACTGAGTGGGCGTGCCCAACTTTTTTTTTTTTTTAACTTTTAAAACCATTTTTTCTACAACCTCTTCGGCTGAGCCACTGAGCCACCTAACCAGGCTCACTTAACAACGATGGCAAGAAAGGTCATGAAAGGGGACAAAATTCACTTAGTAACTGTTTTGCTTAGCCGCAGCAATATGAAGCCCAGTTGTGGCCGTATGTCGAGGACTACCATCCTTCTTTAAGCTTCCTTTTGTTTGTTTTTCAACTCTCCCTTCTCCTTCCCATTGGCAGATTCTTCTTGGGCAGAAATACAACATGGCGGTTGATTGGTGGTCCTTCGGGGTCCTTCTGTACGAGATGCTGATTGGCCAGTCCCCCTTCCATGGCCAGGATGAAGAACAGCTCTTCCAGTCCATCCGCATGGACAGCCCATTCTACCCCCGCTGGCTTGACAAGATTGCAAGGGACCTCTTAGTAAAGGTGAGGTTGGGAGATTCCATTATACCAGAACGGGGGTGTTTCCAATTTGAATATCCCATCCATCCAGTTTTGGTTGCCATGATGTAAAGAAAATGTGGAGACTCTAGAAAGAGTGCAGAGAAGAGCAACAAAAGTGATTACAGGACTGGAGGCTAAAACATATGAAGAACGGTTGCAGGAACTTGTTGTGGCTCCGTTACCTGAGCCTGTGTCATCGGCAGGAGAGGACTCCGAGAGTGAAGGAGAGGAGTTGGCAAGGCCTCCCTCTCCAGGACCCTCCTCTCTGGCAATGCCTTCGGTGTCCACCGAAGGGCAAGAGATAGGGCCGGGGCCAAGCATGTCCACACAGCCACAGGTGGACAGTGATGAAAGTAATGAGTCTTGGCTGGATCCACGCCAGCGTCGCAGAGATAAGCGCGTGCAACAGAAGAAAAGGCGTGCCCGAGATTAGTCTGAGTCACTGGACCACACCCCACAGGGTATAAAAGGGAGCGTGGTGGCCAGTCAAACCTTGTGACGAACAAAGCTGAAAGCTTCCACGCCATTCTGCATTGCCGGACTTTTGCTATAGACTTTGCTGGATTATCTCTGGACTTGATTGACTCTGTAATTATTGAGCTGTTTCTTTTGATGTACCAGAAGCGGGGAGAAGTTATCTCTCCTCTTCCTAAGTAATAAACTCTTGGCAGGCAGCCACTAGGTTGTTGCCAAGTTCCGTTATCATAAGGAAAAGGATTTTGCCGGCTGGTTTAGTCTTTAACTCTTGGACGTCTGTTGGTGTGTGTGCGTGTGGGACGGGGACAGAACAGAACTGGGTATGTCCAGTTTAATGAAAAGAAGGACTAGGGGAGACATGACAGCAGAGTTTCAAATTTTGAGGGACTGCCACAAAGAAGAGGGAGTCAAGCTATTCTCCAGATACAGATTAACAGAATTGGAAGGGACCTTGTAGGCTGTGATGGGTTGCTCCTGGTTCGCACCGGTTCGCAAGAACCGGTAGTAAAAATTTGTAGTAGTTCGGAGAACCGGTAATAACATTGGCTGGCCACGCCCCTGAACTGGTCCCCGGCCCGGTTGCTGCTCGCTTACCCTGCCCACCTCATCAGACTTAACAAATGTCTCGCTTCAGAATAGAAATTTTGGGCTCAATTGTAGTCGTAAATCATAAGTCGAGAACTACCTGTACTTCCAGTTTTCAGGAAAACAGTGCCCTGTTTTAACAACTGTGGGTGTCAGCGTTCAACGCTGGCATAGAGAGAGCAGAGGAGAGCGAAAGATAAACTCTGAAACTTTTGCCTGCTAAATCCCTTTGAAGCCCGGTTGTCGTGGAAATGAGGGGAGGGGGCACATTCCTGGGAAATGACGAGGAAAAGAAGTCTGAAGAATGACTTGGAAGACAGCCAATGAGAAGCAGAGATTTGGGGATCGGAAAGGGAGGGATTGGGAGGCAAAAGGTCAGTCTTGTCTGCGCGGAGTCATGATCCGGTGGCTGAGCTCAATTAAAGAAAGATTTCCTTAAAGATTGGCAGTTTGGAAATTCATTTAATTTTGAGATAGCACCGCAGTCTGACAGTGGGATTGGCTTAACAACCACCATTTTTTTAAAAAGGTTTTAATATGAGATTGATCATGTGAATGGCCCATTTTTATCTATTTTTTTATAACTATCACCCCTTACGACCATGGTAGAAGGTTCCATTACGGTCATAAGTCGAGGACTACCTAAATTCTTTACCTTAAGTTCTAAAGAGAAGGTTTTCTCGTTCTTTAAAGCCATTTGCTAGTGAGGGAGCAAATGTTTCACGTACCCTTTATCCATTTTCTGAACGCTTCGATCTTTTGATTTGTAGCTTTTCGTTAGAGAACCGGAGAGGCGGTTGGGAACCCAAGGGAATATTCGACAGCATGCCTTCTTTCAAGATATCACTTGGGAAGCTTTGGAAAGAAAAGAGATTGACCCGCCTTTCAAGCCTATCGTGGTGAGAATCGTTCCTTTGACTCTCTTAATTTCTCTGAATAACTTCCTGAAGCCACAGTTAATTTAATTTTAATTTTTTTTGTGCGTTTATTCCAGGGGTGAAATGTAAAATTTGTTACTACCGGTTTTGTGGGCGTGGCTTGGTGGGGTGGGGTTAATGTGACTGGGTGGGCGTGGCCAACTTTTTTTAAAAAAAAAACTTTTCAAAGCATTTTTTCTAATGCTTTGAAAAGCCTCTGCCAATCAGGCAACTCAGCTGGGATCGTCAGAGACTTTTCAAAGCAATTTTTTTACCACCTCTTCGGCCAAGAGGTTGTAGAAAAAAAATGCTTTGAAAAGCCTCTGACGATCCCAGCTGAGCCGCGGGATCATCAGAGGCTTTTTTTTTAACTTTTAAAAGCATTTTTTCATCAGAAGAGGTTGTAGAAAAAATGCTTTTAAAAGTAAAAAAAAAAGCCTCTGATGATTGTGCGGCTCAGCTGGGCATGTGGGGGGGGGCAGGGATTTTTGCTACCGGTTCTCCGAACCACCCGCCACCATCGCTACTGGATCGGCCGATCCGGTCCGAACCGGGAGCATTTCACCCCTGCTTTATTCCATTCAGATAGCATTCCCCCCATTTACACGTAGTCCTCGACTTACGTCCGTGCATTTAATTACAACAGCACTGAAAAAAAATACAGGCAGTTCTCGACGTACGACCACATTGGAGCCCAACGTTTCTGTAGTTAAGCGAGACATTTGTTCAGCGAGTATCGCTTTGCTTTCCGAACTTTCTTGCCACAGTCGTTAAGGATAAAGATAAGGATAATTTTATTTCTATACCGCCCCTCTCCCGAAGGGGCGGTGTACAGCCAGGTAAAAACACAATACAAATATCACAATTTAAATTTAAAAAATTCTTAAAAGTATTACATTTAAGGCCAATTAACTAAAAAACCCAACAATTTAAGAATTCCAAATTTAAAACTCAATTATGAAGCTAGCCCTGCCTGTCGGAAGAGCAGGGTCCTAAGAGCACAGCGGAAAACTCGGAGGTCAGAGATCTTGCGTTAAGTGAATCACCACAGGTTGTTAAGTGAATTCGGCATTCCCCTGTTGATTTTGTTGGTCAGAAGGTTGCAAAAAGCGAAACTACACATTGGGACACTGCGACCGTCATAAATATGAAGCGGTTGTCAAGCATCCGAATTCTGATCACATGACCACGGGGCTTCTGCAATGGTCGTAAGTGTGAAAAATGGTCACAAGTCACTTTTTTCAGTGCCGTTGTAACTTTGAACCGTCACTAAATGAACTGTTGTAAGTCGAGGACTACCTGTAACTTATGTGCATTTTTCACACTTACGGCCGTTGCAGCATCCCCGTGGTCACATGATCAACATTCAGATGCTTGGCAACTGGCATGTACTTATGCCTGTTGCATTGTCCCAAGGTCATATGATCCGCTTTTGACAAGCAAAGTCCATGGAGACGCCCGATTCACTCAACAACCGTGTTATTAACTTAACCACTGCAGTGATTCACTTAAGAACGGTGGCATAAAAGAACATAAAACGGGGCAAAACTCACTGAACAATTCTCTCGCTTAGCAACAGAAAATGTGGGCTCAATTGTCATAAGTCGAGAACTACCTGTAGTTCAGTTTTGCTATGGGGAAACCAAGTTATTGGGTTATCATAATTGGGTAAATCAGGCCATCACATTTCAACTGTAACTCAGTTTATCTGTGGTCTCGGCAAATTACATAGCCTAATTTTTTGTGCAACAGACAAAATGAAGAGTTTTTAAATTATGTATTTATATTGATACGGCATCCATCTCATCAATGCAACTCTGCACAGCTAAGAAAAATTAAAATACAATATAAATACATCCAATGCTTTAAAAAGTACTATTCGCACTCAGATGTCTATGGAGAGTCTCAATCATCCAGTCATGATTGTCCCTAAGGTGCTTTTTCAAAAGGCAACTGGACTTTCTTTGTTTTTACTTGAAGACATTTCACTTCTCCTCCAAGAAGCTTCTCCAGTTCTGAACCGAACTGAAGAAGCTTCTTGGACGAGGAGTGCAACATTTTCAAGCAAAAACAAAGTCCAGTTGCCTTTAGAAATAGCACTTTTGGGACATTCCTAGCCAGGTGTTTACTACCCAGGGGGAAAAAAAAAGTTACGTTCTGGGTGCGAATTCATACAATTGGCTTAACCACATCAAATCAGGTCCTAGCAGATGCCTTCACACAATACGCTAAGTTTAGTTAACCTTAACCTTGGTAAATTTTCCTCTAACTGCAAATCCAACTCACCTATGGTTTTTTTTTAATGCAAACCCACAACACGAGAATTTAATAACCAGGGTAAGTATCTGCAAAGATCAGGCAGTGTGTGAGAGTGGCTTATATGTGCATGCCACTTGATCGTGCAAATGCTACTCTACTCTACTCTACTCTACTCTACTCTACTCTACTCTACTCTACTCTACTCTACTCTACTCTACTCTACTCTACTCTACTCTACTCTACTCTACTCTACTCTATTCTTTGCATTCCTAGAGTGGCTGCATCTTCTTTCTAAAGATTGTGGAAGACTTTCTACATTTCTCCTCAGAAATTATCTGACAAGGGCACAGCTTACTGCTATTTTTCCAATCCTGTCTTTTTTTTTTTTATAAAGCTCAGAGGCTTCATCTTCAAATAAATCTCCCTCTTTATTGGCTGCTCGGAGGAGTTTTCTCCTTTGTCTGGGCCTAACTCCACTTTCTCTCTCTTTCTCCTTGAAAGAAATCGCCAGGAGACTGCAGCAACTTCGACAAGGAATTTCTCAACGAAAATCCCCGCCTCTCCGTCGGAGACCGGACCCTCATCAACAGTATGGACCAAAACATGTTTAGGACTTTTTCGTTTACCAACCCCATCATGGAGAAATTGCTATCCTGAGGAACGACCTACAATAGAGGCATCCTTTAAGCCAACCCAGAGACAGTGGGACGTGACTGCCAGGGCTGGTTTGCACCTCTGTCTACATCTTCCCTACTCTGAACTTGCAACTTCTGAGAGTGCAAAAATTGGTGGGATCCTTGCACTCTGTGTATTCTCGTTCACCGGGCAACCAGGAGGATAGGAGGACCTGCTTTGAGAAGAAGACTTGAAGTGTTTCTGACCCAGCTCCCCAAACACGACAAACCCTCTGCAGTGAACTTAAAAGATTCCTTTCTTGGGAAAATGCCGGCAGCCCCGGTAAAAAGTTTCTCTCTCAGGCTAACAAGTCTGTCCATCCGGAAGATGAATAGTTATTATTATTATTATTTATGGAATTTGTATACTGCCCTACTCCCGAAGGACTCAGGGCGGTGAACAGCCAGGTAAAATACATATAATACAAATGTTAAAAAACCATTAAAATACAATTAAATAATTGGCCCGGAAAACAAAATTTAAAACACCCCAAATTCATAAAACAAATTTAAAATTGAAGAATTTTAAAAGTTTAAAAAGTTTAAAAGAGAGGTTAGGCCAGGCCGGCCTGCTGGAAAAGAAATGTTTTGATGGCACGGTGAAAAGCGCGCAGGTCCGGGATCCTCCGTATCTCCGGAGGGAGCTCGTTCCAGATGGCGGGTGCCCCCACAGAGAAGGCTCTCCCCCTGGGGGCCGCCAGTCGACATTGTTTGGCCGACAGCACCTTGAGGAGCTCCTCTCTATGGGAGTGTACTGGTCGGTGAGAGGCTACTGGTGGCAGAAGGCGGTCTCGTAAATACCCCGGTCCTAAGCCATGGAGCGCTCTAAAGGTGGTAACCAAAACCTTGAAGCGCACCCGGAAGACCACCGGGAGCCAGTGCAGCTCGCGTAGGAGGGGGGTCACATGGGAGCGCCCCGTCGCTCCCATAACCACCGCGCGCGGCCGCATTCTGGACCAGCTGGAGCCTCCAGGTGCTCCTCAAGGGGAGCCCCATGTAGAGAGCATTGCAGTAGTCCAGGCGGGAAGTGACGAGGGCATGAGTGACTGTATTTAACGAGTCCCGATCCAGAAAGGGAAGCAACTGGCGAATCAGGCGAACCTGATAAAACAGTTGTCTGCCACATCTATCCATCTCCACCCCCTGCCTGTTATCCCCAGAGCTAGGGTGGGGCTTCGCTAGCAGCGGTGGCTCTTCCTTCCCCAGGACCGGCCCATAGATTTCCACTGCTCTCCTCTCCTCTCCTCTCCTCTCCTCTCCTCTGCCTTCTGTGCATCAGGCACTGGACCCAGCTGTTCCTCCTCTTCCTCATCAGCCACCTCCAGACCTGGAGGCTGTGACTCTCCATCTGAGGGCTGACAGACGGCCCAGGCTCTGCCTCTCTCTCTCTCTCTCTGACAGATCCATTCCCTCTTCCCCCCTCAGAGCTCTCAGGTTGCCTGGATGCTGACCCTGACTCCCACGGCTCCTTCTCCTCATCCGATTCGGCTGTTGGAGGGGCCGCCGGCCAACAGGCCACAACACTCCCAAGACTGGAATTACAACTGCACAGATTTTGCAAATTTGCAGACCTGTTCTCTGTTTTCCCCACTGGGGAAAAAAAACAAAAACAGGTCGTCTTTGAATCTGTATGTGGGATTCCTTTGAACGACTGTAATTTCACATTATATGAGCCGAGGTGGCGCAGTGGTCAGAGTGCAGTACTGCAGGCGACTTCTGCTGACTGCCGGCTGCCTGTAATTTGGCAGTTCAAATCTCACCAGCTCAAGGTTGACTCAGCCTTCCATCCTTCTGAGGTGGGTAAAATGAGGACCCAGATTGTTGGGGGCGAGAGGCTGACTCTGTAAACCGCTTAGAGAGGGCTGTAAAAGCACTGCAAAGCGGTATATAAGTCTAAGGGCTATTGCTATCTCCTGTATCCGCTGTTTTTCCTTCAGTGGCTAGAAAAACTGGATTGCGGTGTTTTTGAGTTGTGAATATAGGATTGGGGCTACTCTACTCTACTCTACTCTACTCTACTCTACTCTACTCTACTCTACTCTACTCTACTCTACTCTACTCTACTCTATTCTTTGCATTCCTAGAGTGGCTGCATCTTCTTTCTAAAGATTGTGGAAGACTTTCTACATTTCTCCTCAGAAATTATCTGACAAGGGCACAGCTTACTGCTATTTTTCCAATCCTGTCTTTTTTTTTTTTATAAAGCTCAGAGGCTTCATCTTCAAATAAATCTCCCTCTTTATTGGCTGCTCGGGAGGAGTTTTCTCCTTTGTCTGGGCCTAACTCCACTTTCTCTCTCTTTCTCCTTGAAAGAAATCGCCAGGAGACTGCAGCAACTTCGACAAGGAATTTCTCAACGAAAATCCCCGCCTCTCCGTCGGAGACCGGACCCTCATCAACAGTATGGACCAAAACATGTTTAGGACTTTTTCGTTTACCAACCCCATCATGGAGAAATTGCTATCCTGAGGAACGACCTACAATAGAGGCATCCTTTAAGCCAACCCAGAGACAGTGGGACGTGACTGCCAGGGCTGGTTTGCACCTCTGTCTACATCTTCCCTACTCTGAACTTGCAACTTCTGAGAGTGCAAAAATTGGTGGGATCCTTGCACTCTGTGTATTCTCGTTCACCGGGCAACCAGGAGGATAGGAGGACCTGCTTTGAGAAGAAGACTTGAAGTGTTTCTGACCCAGCTCCCCAAACACGACAAACCCTCTGCAGTGAACTTAAAAGATTCCTTTCTTGGGAAAATGCCGGCAGCCCCGGTAAAAAGTTTCTCTCTCAGGCTAACAAGTCTGTCCATCCGGAAGATGAATAGTTATTATTATTATTATTTATGGAATTTGTATACTGCCCTACTCCCGAAGGACTCAGGGCGGTGAACAGCCAGGTAAAATACATATAATACAAATGTTAAAAAACCATTAAAATACAATTAAATAATTGGCCCGGAAAACAAAATTTAAAACACCCCAAATTCATAAAACAAATTTAAAATTGAAGAATTTTAAAAGTTTAAAAAGTTTAAAAGAGAGGTTAGGCCAGGCCGGCCTGCTGGAAAAGAAATGTTTTGATGGCACGGTGAAAAGCGCGCAGGTCCGGGATCCTCCGTATCTCCGGAGGGAGCTCGTTCCAGATGGCGGGTGCCCCCACAGAGAAGGCTCTCCCCCTGGGGGCCGCCAGTCGACATTGTTTGGCCGACAGCACCTTGAGGAGCTCCTCTCTATGGGAGTGTACTGGTCGGTGAGAGGCTACTGGTGGCAGAAGGCGGTCTCGTAAATACCCCGGTCCTAAGCCATGGAGCGCTCTAAAGGTGGTAACCAAAACCTTGAAGCGCACCCGGAAGACCACCGGGAGCCAGTGCAGCTCGCGTAGGAGGGGGGTCACATGGGAGCGCCCCGTCGCTCCCATAACCACCCGCGCGGCCGCATTCTGGACCAGCTGGAGCCTCCAGGTGCTCCTCAAGGGGAGCCCCATGTAGAGAGCATTGCAGTAGTCCAGGCGGGAAGTGACGAGGGCATGAGTGACTGTATTTAACGAGTCCCGATCCAGAAAGGGAAGCAACTGGCGAATCAGGCGAACCTGATAAAACAGTTGTCTGCCACATCTATCCATCTCCACCCCCTGCCTGTTATCCCCAGAGCTAGGGTGGGGCTTCGCTAGCAGCGGTGGCTCTTCCTTCCCCAGGACCGGCCCATAGATTTCCACTGCTCTCCTCTCCTCTCCTCTCCTCTCCTCTCCTCTGCCTTCTGTGCATCAGGCACTGGACCCAGCTGTTCCTCCTCTTCCTCATCAGCCACCTCCAGACCTGGAGGCTGTGACTCTCCATCTGAGGGCTGACAGACGGCCCAGGCTCCGCCTCTCTTTCTCTCTCTGACAGATCCATTCCCTCTTCCCCCCTCGGAGCTCTCAGCCTTGGATGCTGACCCTGACTCCCACGGCTCCTTCTCCTCATCCGATTCGGCTGTTGGAGGGGCCGCCGGCCAACAGGCCACAACACTCCCAAGACTGGAATTACAACTGCACAGATTTTGCAAATTTGCAGACCTGTTCTCTGTTTTCCCCACTGGGGAAAAAAAACAACAACAGGTCGTCTTTGAATCTGTATGTGGGATTCCTTTGAACGACTGTAATTTCACATTATATGAGCCGAGGTGGCGCAGTGGTTAGAATGCAGTACTGCAGGCGACTTCTGCTGACTGCCGGCTGCCTGTAATTTGGCAGTTCAAATCTCACCGGCTCAAGGTTGACTCAGCCTTCCATCCTTCCGAGGTGGGTAAAATGAGGACCCAGATTGTTGGGGGCAAGAGGCTGACTCTGTAAACCGCTTAGAGAGGGCTGTAAAAGCACTGCAAAGTGGTATATAAGTCTAAGTGCTATTGCTATTGCTATCTCCTGTATCCACTGTTTTTCCTTCAGTGGCTAGAAAAACTGGATTGCGGTGTTTTTGAGTTGTGAATATGGATTGGGGTTTTTTTTCCCACATTAAAAATGTTTATTTGTGATGTTTGTACAGTGTAATAAAGAACAGTCATCCATTAAAAAGCATCTGTCAAGTCTTTGATCATTCATAACCACTATGGAGAATTATTTTATGTACAATTTTGACACCTATTCCTTTCAGCTCTCCTGACCCAGAGTTTGCCTTCCAGTTCATTCTATTTGTTATGCTTCCGTTCTCCAATGGAAGATTTTGGGATCGTTGTAAATCAGCTTGATTAAACACGAGCATCATATCCAGTGATGGGATTCAACTTCTTTAACAACCGGTTTTCTGTCCTAATGATTTCTTCCAACAACCAGTTTGCCAAACTGCTCAGAAAGTTAACAACCGGTTCTCTCGAAGTGGTGCGAACCAGCTGAATCCCACAACTGATCCATATCCAGTGGTGGGTTTCAAATTTTTTTTACTACCGGTTCTGTGGGTGTGGCTTGGTGGGCGTGGCAGGGGAAGGATACTGTAAAATCTCCATTCCCTCCCCAATCCAGAGGAAGGTTACTGTAAAATCTCCATTCCCTCCCCAATCTAGAGGAAGGTTACTGCAAAATCCCCATTTCCTCCCGATCAGCTGGGACTTGGGAGGCAGAGAATAGATGGGGGCGAGGCCAGTCAGAATTTTTACTACCAGTTCTCCAAACTACTGCTCTATATTATCAACTACTCGGCTACTTCTGATAAGGTGGCTGTTGAGTAGCAGACATGAGGCAGCATCCATCCTGTGGTTTCCTGCTGACTCGCTGCATAGCAAAAACCACAAATGCCGTTGCAACGCACCGTACTTCTGTTCAATGCAGCGGCTTGACCTACATTTAGCATCGGTGGTTGCAGAGGTGTGATTGAAATGAATCTCACTTCGCTTTCCTTTAACTCTGCTGCCACGGATATGGTCAGGTCTGCAAAGCAACAGGTGCTTTGTTACCTCCATAAATGGCTTTATTGTGCAAGGGGGAGAATAGAGAGCCAGGTTGGTCTAGTAGTGGTTAAGGCACCAAGCTAGAAAGAGGGAAACTCTTGAGTTTATTTATTTATTTATTTATTTATTTATTTATTTATTTATTTAATGGGACTTGTATGCCGCCCTATCTCCACAGGACTCAGGGCGGCTGTTCTGTCCCCGTACCTCACACGCACCCCCACAGATGGCCCGAAGTTAATAAGCCACACGATAAAACTCTTTGATGATAAAGCTGGCAGCAACCCAGTGGCTAGCTGCCAATTCAGACTTTACTCACACAAAACAAAGATTAGACTGCCAGCATTCCGATAAAACAGGCAGAGTGTCAACAATACAAGGATTAATCCAAATGCAGTCCGATAAAGCAGGCAGTAACACAGAGATCATGGAGTATTTCCAGTTTTTGCTCGTCACAAACTGAACCGGCCATCACACCCACATTTATACCCTGT